AGCTTTGTCTAAAAATTGTACAATAATCTGGACTCCATATGTTGTGTGTCCTGCCTTTTTCCTGGACTTATCAGGACCATAACAATGTGAGAAAGACATTAAACAAAAATGAAGCCTTCATCTAGTATGCATTGAGTGACTATTGAACTGTGGAAGCTTGGGACAGTTTTTAGTAAGTTCTGTCATGCAAGTGTAACTAAGCTAAAATGTAGCGTGTGCAAATCTGTACCCTCCTTACAATCATTTGTCACTCATCTGCTCTTGTCTACAGACTTCTTTCTCACACACACATTTGGAAAAATTCTTTAAAGAACAAGGTGTGCTGCCAGTGTGTAGGAGTTCAGCACTGCTGCAGAGATGTCAGTGCACCTGTATGTGACGAGTCTCTGTGGTCTGCAGTAGTTTTAAAGTCACTGCCTAGTATCAACTTAGCTGGCTTGAAACCCCAACCAAAGTGACATAAAGACAAAGTACCACGGCCTCCAGAGGGAAAAATGAGACCAGTTTGGAGTCAAGTTGAGTTGTACAATGTACTGGGAATTGATAGTATTCACAAGAAGCAGAAATGCATCAAATCAAAAGCACACTCATTTTTGATTCTTTTAGTCTTGCTGAACTCACTGCAACTCCCCCTCTTTGTCTGACTAACACTGTCTGCACTAACAGCATTTTTGTTGACGGTGCCAACAGTGTGCTGGAGACTTCATAGGGGAAATAAATAACACCACTCAATTCATCAGTCCATTCATGCACTGCAATGGCAGAACTTGTTTGTGTGGGCTGATTGAATTTGAACTGAGTCTATTGTACTGCAGCCTCATTCCAATTCATGCTATTGTCTGATGCCCCTCCTCCTGCTTCATTCTTTGAGACAGCTACTGATTTAGATTGTTTCTCTGGGTAAGGGGTGTCACTTCTATTCCTGAAGGTAGAATAAAAGCTTGGCAATGACACCCCATAGAAGGACCAGATGTCCTCGTTTGAATGATAGAGAAAGCCTCCTATGACATTCGTTACATCAATCCCACCACCAGATGACATATAAATGATGGTGTTTGCAATGCTAAGGCAGAGACCTACAGTAAACTAATGATTAACACATAGGCAACTAGATAAGGTAAATTACAAGGAAGAGGAGCATTTAAATATTCTAAAATGTGGGTAGTGACACTTTACAGAGCCTGTCATTTACAGTATGATCATGGAAATACTGTTTTGCTTAACAGCTCTGCAAATTGATTGGAAGGATTTTTTTTCCTTGGCTAAGTTCACTACCATTACTTTCCAATGAACAAATAAAAAAAAATACTTTTTATAATGAACTTTTTTTAAATTCATCCATCCATTCATAAAAAAATATTTTATTAATTCTATACAAAACTGTTTTGTGACCACAAAATGCTGTCATTCAATCCACGTTTGGATTACATCTTAGACTGTGCAAAAGCATAATCTTGTCTTCCATTTAAGCAATAAATCCATTGCAATCATGCATTACTGGCAGTTCATGGGCTGTGGCCTATGCTGAAGCTAAAGCCTACATTTGGTGTGAGCTTTTAGATTTTTTTCTTTAAGCAAAGAGGATGCTGTGTGAGTGAAATGCTTGAAAGTCTCTTATAGGACATTCTAGTGGAATTACAAGGATTGGAATCTGATGGTATCTATAATGAAAACATGTAGGTAAAAAGAAAAACAGCATGGTCTAAGGTTGTGTGAACTACAGTCTTACTTACATCTTAAAAATGACCTCCATAACCTGAAGTTGGAGCTCTTTAGGAATAATAAATTGTCTGAGACTTCAGTTGTTGTCGGTACTGCCAAGACGATGTCTCTGTTTATGTAAGCTCAGCTTCAAACTTATTGCTCTGTTCCATTGAGTCAAACTTGATGATCATTCTTCCTTGGTTGGCTTCAATCCATACTGGCCCCATACCAACCAGATCTGAAGGTCTCATTGATGAGACAGTTTCCAGCCTTCTGCGCATTTGCTAGACATGATTACCAGACAGTGACACCAGTCATCTCAGTGTCACCAGAAAATCTATTGACTCTTACCAAAGCTAGATCAATGTCTTTGTGTTTAGAAAAGCCAATACTGCTGCACCCCGTGATGTGCCATAGGAATACAGGAGGGCTGGACATTAAACATTTAGTAAAGGTCTTTTTAATGGTCTTTTGTTGTTTATAGTTCAACTAAATGAACTATAAAATTGGTTCATTCGGTTATTAATCAGGATATCCATAGGATCAAGTTCCTAATATAGTTTTGCCTGACAAAACTGATGTGTCTTCCGTTACCCAGCACTGTAATATGGTTGGTTTTGTCACTCTTTACAATGAAAAATGATTAAATATAGATAAAATAAACTTTAATAACAAATATCGCTATTTCTTCAGACTGAATTTTGGAAAGATTCTTAAGAAAAGAACTCAAATGTCCAATATACCATCTCACCTGTCTTACCTGCCTTACTCAGTCTCACTACAGCTCTGTCCCCACTTTTCACCATAATTGTCTGTAATTACATATTTTGAAACACCCACTTTATGAAAAGGTACATCACATATGTTCTGAAAGCAACACTCCTTGTGACTGTGAGAAACCTGAAGTTGTTGTCTTCACTTCTCACCTCTGTAAGGAAATAGTAAACAACAACCGACCAGGAGTTGAAAAAAAAAAAAAACATTTTACCCTCTTCTTTGATGTTCTGAAATACTCCAGAAAATTAGTTTTATTTAAGATTCTATCTCATTTATTACTTGTGGATTGAAGCCTTCACAATTGACTTGGGTTTGCATGCTGATATATTGCATTTGTTTAGTTGGCAATTACAAAATATCTGGGAATTGTCTCTAAATGAAATTTGATCAATTTTGACAACAAAATGCCAACTTGCTTGCTACTATTTTCACAATGCATTGCATTTCTTCCTGCACGACTCTTGGATCTCTGGGAGCTCCTTCTGATTCTTTATATTTTTGTCACAATTCCAGCCCTCCTTTTTTTCTCCTCTTTCCTTCTTTGGTATGAATATCAGTTCATTTCCCTGTCCAATCTTTTAACACTTTTATGTCTCTTGCTCATGCAGCACTTTCAATTTATCTACTAAAAATACATCTTTTGCAAAGAAAAGCTCAACTTCACCTTCTATATTTTTCCTACACTCTTGACTTCTGCAAGGTTTTCCTCAAATCAGACATATTAATTCAGTTTCATCAATTTTCTGTTTCTCAAAATAACCTAGGGTGAAATCTGCAGAATATAACCAGCTTTTGGAATTATGTTCACCAGTATATGACTTTTTTATTTACCTAACCCTGCTTCTACTACTACTTACTACTACTTACTTTGTCTAAGAAAGAAAGAAAGTGCTACTTTATGTATTGTCATCATTGAATGTTACCATACAATGGCCAAATTATTTATCTGCATTTAACCCATAACACGTGAGATACACCCAGATGGACCAGTGCGCAGCTATGTAAGTGTCCAGAGAGCAATTGGGTGTCTTGCTCAGGGACACCACGGCGTGTGGGAATGGCAGGGAGTCGATCCGTGACTTTCTGGTTCCAGGTCGGCTGCCCTACCTCCACCCCATCTTGGCCCCCCGAGAACATGTGCATTTTGGCGATTAAAACAAGAGTTGAGATTGGGGTGGTACAGTGGCTCAGTTGGCAGAGCTGTTGCCTCTCAACGAGAAGGTCACTGATTCAAATCCCAGCTGGGGGGCCATTCTGGGTGGAGTTTTCATGTTCTCTCAGTGCATGTGTGGGTTTTCTCCGGGTACTCCAGTTTCCTCCCACGGATCAAAAACATGAACGTTAGGTTGAATGGTAACTCTAAATTGTCCCTGGGTAAGAGTGAAAGAGTGAATGGTTGTTTTTCTCATTTGTCTCTATGTGGCCCTGTGATGGACAGGAGACCTGTCCAGGGTGTCCCCTGCCTCTCTCACAGTGACTGCTGGATATGGGCATCACCCCTGCAACCCAAAAAGGAAGGAGTGGGTAAAGATAATGGAGGGAATAATACTAAATTGCCATTTTGTTTTGCATTACTCATCTTCTCTTAGGGCAGCTAAGGGCCATGTATAGGTTGTGTAAATGACAAAAATTTAACTATATTCTAGCCACTGGGTTTGCTTCAAATGAAATGGTATGCTTTGCATATTGTCTGAAAAGAGAGAGGTTTTTCAGTGTGTGTAAACTACATTCATTTGATACATAAAATATGGAACACAAAGTAAGACTTCATCTACCCTTCAAAGGTTTTTTTCTTCTTCATTTTACCTTTACCAATTCAAAGCCATGCTATCTAATGGATTACCTCATCCTCAAAAAGAAGCTGTTCAGTTGCTCTGTGGTTGTATAATTCTCTTTCATCTTCAGAAAGAATAGATGGAATGATTAAATAAAGAACCTGTTGATATCCATAGCTGCTGTTGACGTGTGACTTGGGATGTGCATCACTTGAATTAGAAAATAATGTGGACTTTGCACTTGGACCACTTCCACTTTACAGAATGTGCCATATGTATGGTGTTCAATTAAGTAAAGTGATGATGATATTTTAATATAATTTCCTAGATATTTAGGATTTTTAACTCAAAGTAACTGGTATAGCATTTAGTAGCTTTTGACTGAATTGTTTACACAGGTGAACATTTAGGAGTAAACTTGAGCTATGTGGAACAAATCTAATTTTGATAGTTATAATTTGCATTAATAATGTAATACAATTGTCTCCTGTCAAATGTATGCAACTGCAATGGTTTTAGAAAAATATTTTTGAAGCAATACACAATGCACACTTCTGGTTTCTCATGAATGTTTTTTTTTTTTCTTCCACACAGCTAACTATTGCAGCCAGTTTTTCATGGCTGTATTTTGATGCATTGTTTTGTTAAATCCCAAGGTGGAGTAGGTAAGGTTTAATTTGTTGCATCTGCCAGACCCATGCTGGCAATGCTGATAGTGTCCATGCCAGTGTGATGGTTTCCCACATCCCTGTCCTCTGTTGTGACCACTGAGACCCTTTTGTTACCTCGCCAAAACAGCTCTTTCAACTGGATTGACACAGTTCTGTGTTATTGTTGTACCTTTTTGGCTTTATAGCCAGATGGTCCCCTCTGAATGGGAGGTCTAGGCACAACCTTGATTTCTTGGTTCTCCTTGGATCTCTTTTGACCTGAAACCTCCCAGAATTCCCACTGGTTGTAATCCGGAGTTCATGACATTGAGTGCACTGATTTGACATGGTAGTCTGAGTTTGAGCTCATGTTTGTGCAAACCGATCATGGGTCTCTAATGCACCGTGGCACGCAGTTGTCAGATACAGTATATCACAGGGCTTGCTGCCTTCTGACTCATTAAGATTTGTTTTTTCGAATGTTATACTCTCATTATGTTTGTAATTTGTATTCAAAACTTGAAATGTCCACATGACATCCCCTTTTAAATATGCTATTTCACTGAGTTCTTTTTAAGTTTTGTTTATGAAGTTGTTATTGGCAAGTTTTAAGGCTTCATAGAATATTGTCATACATTTTAGATGTAAATTTAAACTGCAAACTTACAGCTTAAGTAGGCAGAGTAAAACAAAAGTACCAATACAAAATACAGCCTGGTAAATTTTGGGTACTTACCTGGTACATACTTTATACATGGAGAGTATAATAATAATAATAAAGTGCTATGTGTTGTCATCATTGTATGTTCCCATGCAAAGACAAAATTGTCTCTCTGCATTTAACCCATCATGCCTGGGATACACCCAGGTGGAGCAGTGGGCAGCTATGAGTGCCCGAGGAGCAACTTGGGGTTAGGTGTCTTGCTCAGAGACACCACGAGATGTGCAATGACCGGGGATTGAACGCAGGACCTTCGAGTCCCGAGTCGGCTGCCCTGCCCCTACACCATCTCAGGCACCATGCACCCCATTTGTAACAAACTGTATTTTATATTGCTACCAAAACAAAAATGTTAAAATATATTTTAATAACAGCAGAAGAAAAATCATAACAAACTTCATGTATAAAAATATAAATTGTTGCTTAACAGCAGCCCTAGTCAGTTTATAATAAACTAAATATTGATTGCACAACATTCTCATGTAAACACAATTATTTGACAGACTGCAAATACCATTACTGAGCTCAATAACATTTCATTTTATTGCTGTTGAGCCGATTATTCGCCAAAAGATCAAAAAAATCTTTGTTGTTTGTAAGCTAAATATTTAAATTAAATAAAAGGTTATACAATGATTTATTTGCTAAAGTTGGCAGAAACATATTGTCTGGCAATTGTGCAAAGACAAACTTTTGTCTTATGGAGTAAGGAGTCAAGGATTTGAGATCCAATTTTCTTTGTGTATAAGTGAATTTAAGTATTTTAAGCATTCCCCAGAAATTGTCTGTAAGAGAATAAACCATACTTTATCAGAAGATGAAAACATACCTTTTCTGTAGACTGTGAAGTGCCGAAGAAGATTGGAATAAACGCTAGCCAAATTATGCAGGTTGTGTACATAGTGAAACCAATGGGTTTGGCCTCATTAAAGGTCTCAGGCACACCTCTAGTTTTGATGGCATAAACAGTACAGGTGACCATGAGCAGCATGCTATAGCCCAGCAAGCAGATGAGAGACAAGTCAGAGATATCACACTTGAGAACACCACGAGCCAGCACAGGGTTAGATGTTCTCTGGTCCTCGTAGTCGATAAGGGCCTTGGAGGGATCCATGCCAAACCATATGCACACCCCGAGCAGCTGCACTGAAGCAAGGGTGAAGGTGATGACAAGCTGGGAGGCTGGAGAAATGAACCTGGGAGCACTCACAGACATGGTGCCCTGCTCAAAGATGCGGTAAATACGATTGGTTTTGGTGAGCAGAGCAGCATAACTAATGCTCATCCCTAAACCCAAGAAGATTCTGCGGAGGGAGCAGATTCCTACATCAGGTGCAGAAATCATCAAGAACGTTGTGGCGTAACAGAGGAAGATTCCAGTTAGCAGCACATAGCTTAACTCTCTCCCTGATGCCTTCACAATTGGCGTGTCGTTGTAGCGGATGAACGTGACCACAACAAACAAAGTGGCCATGATGCCGAGGACTGCGATAAGCACAGGGATGACTGCCCAGGGGGAGCTCCACTCCAGCTTAACAATGGGGATTGGAACACAGCCTGTGTGATTCTCGTTGGGACGCAAATCAAAGCGACACATTTTACATGTGTAGGTGTCTGCCTGATACTGATAGCCATCACAGCGCTCGCAGTGCCAACAACAAGGAATGCCCTTCACAATCTTCTTGCGCTCCCCTTGCTGACAGGGCTGACTGCAGATTGAAGACGGGATTTGGCGGACACCACCCGGCCACTGCATCAAACGCACCTACAGTGACAGAGGAGTAGCGATAGACGTTGTTAAATGCATTAAGGAAAATAAAAACCATGAAGAGATTTTCACTGTAATGTACAAGGTCGACTTTGTCCTGTAAAATGAAGGCGTGTCAAGGTTGTCTGGTTTTATTGATTCAAAAAGATGCTCAGATCCTTGAAGTCCAAGGAGAATCTAGAAGGCAGATATTTAATCTTAGGTGTTTGACTTGTGGTTGAAGTATACTTGGTTTTATGTACTTGATTTATTGGTAGGCAGAAAATTGCAGCGTATGCATCATATTAATGTTTTTTTCCTGATTGAGCAAAAGTGTTTCAGTGAAACATTAAAGTAACTGAAGGACAAAATGTTAAAAGAAAAAGGAAACCTGTTGTTTGTTCTGCTGGAAATTGATGGCACCGTTTCTTTCTTTTAATGGTTTTGATTATTACAAGGAGTCAAAAAGCAATCAGTTAAAGAACAGAATTTATTTTATTTTATGTGATTAAGATAATACTTTCCTATGTGGAATGGTATGTGATACAAAGACCAGTTTAATCCCTCAGTTGAAACAACCCTACCTCTTTACAGTTATCCATTTTATCCATTTGTAGCTGTGAATTCAGAGCTGGCAAATTTCTCTTTAAATGTGCACTTAATTAAGAACTCAAAGAGCATTAATTAAATATGACCCGCTCTAAAATCAGTGCTGGCATGTTGCACAGCAGGTACTGAATGCAAACTGCTTCCTATTCTTTTCCACAGCACATGTTAAAAGTGGTGAATTAAAAAAAAAACAAAAAAGCAAAAAAAAAAAAAAAAAGCGTCGTGTAGGGAAAG